GCTGCAACTAGGATGTCGACAGTATTTTTCAGGCACAGCAATGGTTCACCTTTCGCTTTGGAGAATTAGTTAATTAGTTAGCAAAGGAAATGGCCAACGTCGTCAAACACCTAATTTTCTCTGCCGAGCCCGACTCTCTCCAGGCTCTCTTTTAGTACACTCTACAGCGCCCAACACTACCGTGAAAGTGGATATGGGATGAATAGAAAAATTTCAAGTGGTTTTGTTTAATTGATGGTTAAATTCCATGAAAAGCCGGAGCTGATAGGCACAAGAAAGAAACAATAGACAGGAATAACTTTGTGGCGACGAAATCTTTTTTCTACACACTTTTGGAATTTTGGTCGACGTCCAAAATTTCGTCACCGTGTCACACGTTGAGACGATTGAAGCACATGGACTAAGGTCAAAGGTCACGGGTACATCTTGGCACTATAATGAACTTTTCAAATGCCACGAGTACCAAACAATAGAAACTGTTTGGCACATTCAACTGTTTCTCTTAGGCAGAAGTCACTAGTGCTTCAATATAACGGTTCATTGTTGCTTATGACGTCTGCAGTTGGTCTGAGCACTTGACATTATCGCATAGCGTTTGTTTCGGGGTGATAGGGTCGATTAGAAATTTAAAAATATTGTTACTACAAAGATAAACGGCAGATATGAACCGGATAAAGCGGAGAAAAAGAGTGGTGGGATAGAAAAAAAGGAAAGAATGTCTTCAACTATAGGAAGGTATATTTTGTATCAATTTCCATTGATGACGGTCGCAAAATCGTCACGACTACCGTATCAGGCGATCGGTCCGCAAACGTGATCGTTAAACTACTACCATAAACCTCAATAGAGGTGTATGTGACAACGAGACGCGGAAAGCACCCAATTAACCGACAGTGACAGATGGCATGGTACGAACGACGAGAAAATCAACACGACTGCTACCCGCTGTTCGCTCAAGAAACGACGTCAAATACGAGCAAACAAGGTCGACTACACTGAGCGCAGGTCGCCACGAACCCTCAATTGACCCTTCTACGGCCGACAACTTGACAGTAATAGACTCAAGATGGAAATTAGCTTCTATAAAGCGAAATGAGTAACACAAAGAAGTAAACGGAGAGTGGGAAAGTATAAGCATTAGATGAGAAAATAGAACACGATATCAAGAAGGCAAGAAAAGAGAAATGTGTTAATCGAAAGGTGGAGATTTCTTCTCTACTCTTAGGTATGATCGATTTCATATACTGCCGCAAAGGAGCGGCTATTGCATCAGATTTTCCGCGCAGTGGACCTTCTCTTTCGTAAATCTACGCCGAATCTAAGGTTCTGACATTTTTCTTGAGACTATCTTTTAAATAATTTGGTCCCCTTCGAAGATCACTTAATGAATAAGCAATAAAAACGTTAGTGGCCATGTGAAGCGTCTACAGCTAGGTCACCACAATAACCTCAGGTGAAAATTTAGGTGTTTCCCTTACCTCAGAAACAAGAAAGGACGAATTGCGCGACGTACGGTGGCACCACTTTTTCAGTTTGTTTCGTAAAAGAATGCTAATATTTTAGCATGCAAGGTCTCGCATCAGCTTCACTGCGACGGAATCGATAACCGTCGAAAGCGACTCAATCGTCCCTGTTCTGCCCAGTGTTTGTCTACCGTAATTCGTGTGATGACGCGTGTCCATCTATAGCTGGCTGGACAAACATTCGTAACGACGTCATGCATCGTTCGTGTAAGACGTTCGTTTCTGAACCAGACGAAGGTCGGCTATGGCTTTTAGTGGACGAATAGCCTTGAGAAGATCTGATGATGGTTCATAACTCCTGACGTCTAGCGCAGTCGTTGTCGATCAAATCGCTAGCACGTAGTTTATGATTAAAACTTTATGATTAAAACTTCCAAGACTAAGCCGTCGGAAATTTCGATAATCCGCTGCTTTCTTGATAATCACAGAAGAAGTGGTTACTACACTCTTTGTTAATAAAAGCTCGCGTTTTGGAGCATTTCGCCTTGTTCTGAACTTGGAAAGGTCAAGTTGACTGCAATCTAGTCAGCCAATACAAATACCTACGTAACTCCAAAAGAAAATTGACGAAACCTAGATTTCAATCCCACTGTAAACAAAATAGCTCCTTGGCAGACTCATTGCTTTCTGTGAGTATTCCGTTGTGTATTTCTCGTAAGGACCAAATGCACAGAGCTCACATGCATAGGTAATGAGCCTCTCTCACGTTAAAGTATCAGTCAGAGATACTGCTTGAGATCACGCGTGATTACGAGGCATTCAGCCCTGCGGTTCAACCTCGGATTCTCGGAATTTAACCAGGATTCCAGGAGAGATTTTCACGTCGAAGTTTTCGATTTCTATGCGAGGATAGTAACTTTTACTTTAATATCTTCTCCATTCCATTTCTGAGTCCCATGCGTGCCTGATACAGTATTTGGTTTAGTTTTACGTTTGCCGACTAGATGTTTTGATGAGCTCACAGTGGTCTAGATGTTTCGCCAATGTATTCGCTTTACAAGAGTCCAGATAAACCATACGTGAACCCATAGAATCATCGTCCAACAAATGCAATCCTTATCATTTCCGACAATGTTTTATCACAGATTTAGTGCCTAATCTTTTTTCACAGCATAGTATGATGCGAAATATATCCTGCTGAGATATGAGCAGAACCCGAAACCTCAGATGGGCCACCACAGCACCTGAGATTTCAACTTTTGCTCACATCTCAGCATTCTTGTATTTGATTTTGATAGTTTTATTAAAGACGAAGACCAAAGCAATTAAAAGTGACTGAAGTGGTTCCAAAGTGTTCGGGACTGTTTTAATAGGTTCATGTTATTTCGTGTTAAGACTAGGTAGGAGAGACTTAGATAACATTCCCCATGTCCAGTGAATTTTAGTAGTCCAATCAAATGGTTACAGAAAGCTGTTTTATTAAGTCTATAAGTGAAAAAAATCACACGATTACTCGATGAGTAAGGAAAGGTCCAAAGGTGCAATGTATAAACTTTTTTCAGCATGTAATGACTTTTAAATGAATTCGGTGCTTGTGCTCAATCATCGACAAACTGAGAGGAAGGTTATGTTTTTCTTCTCGTCAAGAGTCATGTTCATATTTGAATCGGGGTACTGTCACCGTCGTCGTCTTCGTCGTCTTCGTCAGGCCGCCAAGGTCACCGCACTGATGAAAATTCGCTACTAAGCGAGTGTCCCTTTGATCCGGTAATGATGAGCTTTTTTTTACTTGTAGTTTGTACATGAGATTCTTTGCAAGGTATTGGTCAAATGTGCGACGCGTTCGAAAAAATCGTGGCGACAAAGCGGAGACGCAATTTCGAAAAAAAGAACACCTATGGATGAAATGCGGAATGCCCCATTCAACTGCAGCTGTTGGCCGACAGGAGAGAGTAAATGTGTTCGTAGGTACTATAATAGTTAGGGCAGAGTCTGGACGTGTTCGAAAACGATATACTGAACCAGTAGTAGCAAAGGTTTTCTTCTCCATTTCTCTACAAGACGTTTTGAATGAAGGACGAGAATTTTTTTGTAGAGGTCAATTCTTTTGCTCTTTCTTCCTATAGCGCAAGATGAACGCGGTTTGTCTAATTTTATATCGACAACTACTGACGACAGATGGAAGTTTTTCAGAAGCGATTGGATTCTTTGAAGTTGCGGTGTTTCGAGGTCGATCGAGCGAGATTTCGCGCAACCGCCTCACTGAGATAACCATGCTGAACTACAGTATTTAAGATTCAACCTAGAGATTATCGGGGCAATGTCATCTAAAAAAAAGCAGACGTGGCGAAAACATAGACAACTGCTTGTCTAAATTTTTATTTCAAAACAACAATTAGAGGAAAAGTGGTATAGGTGATAAGGAAAAAAAAACACGATTAATAGCGACTAGTTTCCTGAAGACGGTATGACAGTTGTTGTCTATAAGTCATTCGCCTTCAACAGTGAACGTTAATGAGCTGTTTCTCTGTTATGAGATCTCGAAAAGAGAAAATGGCCCAGCGTTTGCTACTCAAAAACAAAAAGAAAACCGAGGGCGGTAGAAATTTGATTGAGCCACGGACGATTGGTGTCGTACGAGCCACAGCCGCCTGTTCTTGGTTGATGACTAATCTTACTGCAGCTCATTCAAGCAACAAATTACCTCTCTCCATCAGAAGTACTGGAGAGCAGAATGGTATCGGAACAATGGGAAGTGTTTTCGAAAAGCTTTAGATCATTCCAATCTGTCATACGTCGACGATCTTTGGTTCCTTTCTTATCTCATAAAGCAGTTTGCCAAAATTGAACATTATTTATAGAAGAGTCACGAAAAAGCGGCTCCGAAGAGGGCGATACTGCCGAAACGTCAGCTAGCGCTGTATTGTATTGTGTTTTTATGGAAGTAAATGTATGCTGTTTAAAAACCTCGCGATTGCTGAACAGGAAAACGACACATTCATATTCCAATGCCGAGGTTAAGAGAAAGTCGATCCTGGAAACTATTATTTATAGAGCTAGCATTTTCTACTTCTTTCTTTTTCCGTACTTATTCTACTCAGAGTTCTGCCGCTTCCAGCTACCACATAAACAAGCGTAATTTTACAATGCGGGGGCGCCGCCTAGAAGTTCGCTCGGTAAGAGACTTGAACTGCTACTGCACCGGTTGTTGAAGCCTTCGTTAACACAGAATGCTTTTGCGTCAATAAAATTTTGCGTAGTTTTCTTATTGTGGTTCCTTTCATGTACAGAAGAAACAATTTTATTAGTAACGATTATACAAGCATTAGGAAAAATAACAAAGGGTTAGGTATTATAGAAGGGGAAAGAGGGAACACCACTGAAAACATCATTGAAAAAATTATTAAGATGTTTCTCGCAAAACTGAAGACCAAAAGAAATTTTCTCCACAGATGAGGAAGGAGATTATTTTTACTGAAGCCATTTGTACAGCTGCGTGATGACCGCCAAACACATCGCTAATTTCTGGAAACCACTTTAAACGGTTCCTAGCAGGTAATTTCCAACGTCGTTGACGTCGTTGGACCAGAAGTACTGCTGCCAGAGGTCGACAAACCTTTTATGGTCAATGGAATTGCACTGACCACCTGCAGAGTTCTGTAACATGTTCTTGTACTACGTGACGCGACATATCTTCCATATTTAGAGCTCATAAAGGAAGTCGTTTAACATAAAAATGAAATTAATATTATTCTCTTGTTAATCATATGATTGAACATGGATGTCAGGAGTGCGAAACCTACCACTGCAAATTTATCAAAGCAGTAAATAGCTTCTTCACGAGGAATGGAAAAGTAGCCAAGCACCTCAATATACTCGGCTAAGTCGACCAGTTGATCACCTGAAATCGGATGTGCGGTCACATACTGTGATAATGTGCAACTGGTCAATGTTTTGGCAAAGTTTTCACCGGAAGCGTCCAGTAGATGGAACATGTAATCAAGGTAGGCCTTCTGCCAAGCCGGCTCTTTTTCGGCCGTTAACGAATCGGCCCACATTCTAATCCAGTCCACAAGGGTAATCTGTAGTGTTACTTTAATTAACATTGTAACAAATGATAAGATAAGTTTTAAGAGAAAAAAACAACGTCGGGTCGATTTTTGCCAAGAACTTTAAGAAAGAGATCGGTACAGTGTACACTGGACACAGAAGCTTCATATGAAAAGTAATTGTGGTTTCCGGTATTCTCTCCAAAGAACCATTCTTATAACCTTTTTTCAAGTTTTGAACCAGCAGCGTTTTACCCGAGTGAATAAATTCGAAACACGCTCAGAGGTTGAAAACTGACTGTGGGTCAACAGAATCTGGAAGCGCTTTAACCAGGTGCGGTACGCGAATCAATTTTCATGCTTTATCTATGTTCTTAGGAGAAAAATTAAAAAAATAAAACCCAGCGTCTTTGAACCTTGTATACTTCCTAGTCCATAGAAAGTTTTTTGGAATTTTATGTCGTGAGTTCTGGTAAGATAAAAAGAATGATAAGCACCGTCAAGTATTAAGGGCAACAAAAACAGCTCATCTCTGGGCTTTCATTCTTCCCTAATTTTTATAAATTGCGTCACGTGCTGTCCTTTCTTTCACCCAGAAACAAATAATACCACATTTTTAAGAATTCGAGTCTGGTCTTCAGTCTAAGCTCAAACGGACAAACTCAAATTCCATGAGTTGCTTTTCACTTGCATTAAAGTGTTTAAAAATCTAAGCTTTTTCAAAATCCCTTCTCAAGAAAAGTTTTCAAATCTCAATTGAAACATTCTGAATAGTTCCATAAAACTATGAAAAAAAGTATTTAAGAGCTAGACATCTTTTAGATTTACGTTTGAACTGCCGGAGTAGGGTGCTCGAAAGGCTCAGGAGAAGTTGAACTACTGGACATCACCCAGTAGGAAAGCTCATATGATTTGAAGTGAACAGGTTTCAGAAGTGATGGGATATTTTTTGCACATTTTGACGTTTGATATGGCTTATTATGTATATTTGTATTACGAAACCTTGTTACTTAAAGTGGTAAAAATCACTGTGAGATGTGGAAAGAAGAGACAGGGGACTAGTGCCCACGCTTTTATTCCAGTCTTTCCTTTCTACTTAAGTATTTTTGAAGAAACAGAATTTTCCATTCATTTTGAGATTGTCTAGCTTGTTAAAGGTATGCCATTGTTGCAGGAAGAATACTTTTCCAAATATCACTCTAATCGTAAAAGTAGGTAGGCGGGTAAATTTGTAAAGTTAATGAAAATTGTTTTACTGTGTTCACTTTAACGCACATCTAACTTTGTGGATAGAGAAACCTTGTGAGAACCCTCAGAGTTTCCAGAGGTTTTGTATTAAGTATTCGGGGTACATGTCTCAATAAGCAACAACGGAACCTCCGTCAGCACCTTGTCTGTGGTGTCCTTGCGCACGGTGGCCGTCATGGCCTGCCAAACGTCGGTGAGACTAAGCCTAGCGGCTAGGTGGTCTTCTCCACCGACGCCTCGCACGGCCCCGATGGCGTCGATCAGCGTCTGGAAGTCTCGCCACTCGATGACATTGTTGCCCGTCAGATCTGAAACCATATCGGAACACTGTGTGCTGTGATTTGATCACACCCGGAAACAATTAGACCGCATTAATGAATCAGATTTTCTATAAATTATAAAAGGTAGACAGATATCATTTTCCACTAGACCCTACCAACGTTTTCGAATTCATTGCTTTTTTAAACTGGAACGGCTACGGAACATCACCTAGAAAGAGAGAATTCGTAAGACTGAGAGAAAGATTAATTCTCCCTCATGCTCAAAAGTGATTCCACCTAATCAACTCTTTGAAGATCCTTGAATAATCCTGAACTGCGTACTGTCTCCTACGAAACAGGTGCAGAGAAAAAAGAAAAAAAAATAAACGACTAAGATAAAGAGGTAAAATATAAAACCTCTAAATTCATGAATGTTTGGGCCGATTCGAACATATTACTTTTCTCGTTTTAAGAAGTAACCAAGGTCTAACCGAAGAAGGTGCGGAAGGCATATTGCCACTTTCTGATTAGAAAGCGCTCAATTTGTGGAAAAATATCTGTCACGTTCTCCAAATTCATTTCTTCGTTGGAAGATATCGATTTTTCGGCTGGAAATAAATTAATAAAAACTTAAGCGATTTGAACACAGTACATCGAGGCTCAAAAAACGAGTGAAAAACTAGAACTGCATATGGTATTAACAAAAAAAATTGAGGAAAACTTTGTGAAAGGTGTTGTTCAGCTGAGAACAGACCGTTTTCCATTGAGCAAAGAGTTGTAGACTACTTGCTGGAAGTCAGAAGTTTGTTTCTCTGAAAAACGAAAATTTGTGAAGATAGGATCAACGCGAGTGACTGGATGGAAATACGAATCAAATCTGACGGTGGTTTTCAACTATTTCTTTTTGAAGTATACGGGTAACACCAACTATAACCCGCTAAGTTTAGGTGTCAAATGATTCGAACTGGTCTCGCTTCTCCATGACCAAGGTGAGCGGTAGAGTCTGCTCACTCTACAAACACGGGTGTCATCACACATTAGATTTGGGGAATTTTTCTCGTTTTTGAGAACAGGGTGCCCATATGCTGTTTTCAGATGTTGTGTCCCGTGTTCTGCTTGATGTAGAGAGATGTAGGAGAGTAGCTATCTTCTCTGACCGAGGTTTAAGGTGGGACTTGTTTGTCGAACAGCGCCTGTGTTAGAGTATTAGCTGAATCGACATACATGAACCCATTCTGTGGTTAGTTTTAGTCTTTTTATGAGGTGTTTCTGTAGCTTTTGTGCTTACCTGTTCCAATAAATACAGGTTAAAAGAACAAGCTCTTACAGTAATAACGGCTCATAGAACTAAAGAAGTATCATTTTCTGAGGCGGTCGTAGGATTTTGAAACTAATTCTGAGAAACGACAACGAATAAGCAATGAAGTTAAACAGAGCCAAATGAAATGTAGGAAGCGATTAGAGGTGGTGCCGGGGCGGTGGGATGTAATGGACGTCACTGAAGCACCGCTGTGATTTAAGCGACTGAGGGTGAGATCACTGAGCAGCACATTGTGCTTTCGGTAATAAAGTTTATCTATTTGATTTCGGCGACATAAAATCACATATGACATCGTGGTGACATTCTAGTTAGAATATAACCTCTCAGGATTTTCGAATATCCCAATTATGAAGACGTATGGTGATGTATCCGAGTGGAGGTTTGCGTAAAGCAGTGGAAATACTCATCACCCTAAAACTATTTTAACTAATTCTTTATATTCTTGTTGACTAAACGAGAGGTGTTATTTTATTCTTTATTCAGAAACCAGCAGACGTTTCGGAAGATTTCGCCTTCTTCAGAGCAGCTTTCTATGAGTCTACCACTAAGTATGTCTCGTGGAGACCATTCGGAATTCACATGGAAGCATAATGTACGTATACGTAATGTAATATACGCTCACGTTACGCTTCCATGTGAATTCTGTGCGGTTGGTCTCCACGCGACGTACTCAGCGGAAGACTCATAGAAAGCGGCTCTGAGGAAGGCGAAATCCGCCGAAACGACAGCTGGTTCCTGAATAAAGAATAAAATAACACCTCGCGTTTGCTCAACAAGAATAAAAAGAATTACTCGATCAATGCCGAGGTTAATAGAAAGTAGGTCGTGGGACTTATTACTACTTTAATTGTTGTTTTCAGTGTTAGAACTACTTTTAACAGTTTTGTTTTCAGGGGAATTAAAGTCGGTTAGACCAAGAGGTACCACAAAATGGAATAGATCGGCAGAAAATCTACGAGTAACCCACTAGAGAAGCCTCAGTCACTTTTCGGGGTAGTGGTTTGATTAATGTAGCGCTGCTCTCGGTCATCGCTCATTTACAGCACAAACCTTCATCTAAGACATTTTTATCACCGCCAACAGTTGTTTTTCACATTGTATCAAGTTGCCAGAAAACAAACACTGATCCCCCTTTCACTTTTCCTTACCACTTAAGACCAAAATTTATTACTTTGTTGTCGTTAAACACGCAAAGTGAATAGAATACTCGTAACGGACATACGAACAGTTTAACGAGCCCTATAGAATGCATTGAAGATAGAAAGTATTTTCGTTTTTTTCGTAAAAATTCCACTTCAACATCCTAACAAACAAAAGGACACAAAAGTCGTAAGCTAGATGGCAAGAAAAATCAGCAGAATAGGCACCATGACAGAGATACTGGCTACCGAGTGACTTTCATCTGTCCAGTCGGCCAGGAAGAGGTTCAGCTCGTGCTGACTGGAGCCATTTCTGCTCGATCCCCACACCAGTTTTGTGCCAGCGTGATTCATCATCGGGAACGAGTTGAACTCATGTTTATCACCAAAAGTGATCTGTATATTATCATTATTGTCGTTGTCAACAGTATTACTACACTGATATAAAAAGGCGCACACAGAGAGGCTCGTCTTGGACTCACCCGCTCCAGACCACTTCCATCATCGTTGATAAGGTAAAGTGCAAACGCTCCGAATCCGCTTCCACTGTTCTCATAATTGGAACTGAAATTTCTTCTCTTTTCTAACATGACAGTACAAAGGAAGGACTACACTGTCCTGTGTACATTTGGATTGCAACTTTCTCACGTTTTCTGTGTGACCACTACTTTTCTGAGATAAAACTTGGCTAGGAAGGAAACAAATTGCTAGTCACTATAAATAGAGATCAAAAACCATCATCTAGGAAATCGCTACGTATACAGAAATAAGGGTATCCTAACTAGAAAAGTATCACCTGAAGACGATTCGTTTGTTGTCAGCTAAGTAGTATGGAGCCCAGTTGGATCCACCGAGATGTGTGACCTGCCTAAGATTAGAGCCATCCAAGTCCACAACAAAAAGTTCCATCGACACCGGCTCGACGAGGTTGTACTCCAGCAATTTCTGTAAAGATGCGCTGTATTTGTTTTCAAGCGGTATATAAAAGTCATAAAACGCGGTACGGTTTCATATTAGATTCAGTATTCTCTCGATGAGGAGATATCCGAGAAGATACTTTGTATAAGTTCAAATTGTCAGTTAACCACAAATCTGTAGTGACAAAACGAAACTCCCACTTTGTACTTAGCGATATCATCACGAGATTTCGGTCTACTGGCACGAAATACTAAACGTTTGCCGTCTGGAGAAAAAAACGCTCCCCCATCATAACCCAAATCGTTGGTGACCTGAGAGTTTTTAGTTAGTAAGGCATGAATCATTATTCAAATGAGGATATCACTAGTTGGTAACTCATACTTATCATAGTCTCTCCCAACAAGACTATAACAATGAATCTGCTTTGGTAAATATGAAATTGTTACCTTTACTTTTTTTATTTTGCGGGAAGTTGTAGAATAGAATAGTTTTGGTTTTGGGTATGACAGTTCAAATAACTTAAGAGAGTAGACCAGCCAACTTGTCTGAGATCAGTGCCATCAGAATTCATGATCCAAAGGTCCAGGTCTCCAGAACGAATGGACGTAAATGCAATCAACTTGCCGTCCGGGCTCAATACCGCTTCGGCATCGTATCCAGGATGGTCAGTGAGTTGTTGAGCAATGTTGCCGAATTTATTCACCTAAACATTTACAGTGGCAGTCGTTTCCACTGAAAAGACAAGTTTTCCATTTTCATCGGTTTTCTGGCGTCTGTAGCAAAGTATTACTTTTTTGCATGGTGGAAAGAAAGACAAAAATGTGTGTGCTCAGAAGTATGCCACTAAAGTTGCACGATGTAGCGACGTGTCCCACTCGTCAATTCACAAAAAACCCGTAAGGTTCCCACAATCAATCCATGCCTTCTTTCACGTCACTGACCGTGATAGGCACTTGGAGCTAATGAAGAAGAAACTGGTCGGACCTTGAAAATATCGTAGTCGGGAAAGATATCCCAAGTGTACGATGTATTACAGAGATGCTTGAGGACCGGGTCGGTTATGCTACCCGGATTCCGACATTTCTTCTTAGGACATGTCTTTGAAACATCGGGAAAGGAGGAGACATTCACCTGAAAAGCAGATCAATATTTATTTTCTTGAAGCTATTTTAAAACGAGCAACGAACGTTCCAGAAATTTCCGGCGTAAAGTCGGTGATCGTTACTCCTTTCGTTGAAGAAGAACGAACATGTGGTCGAACCGAGACCAGTGCTAACTCTCCGCATAAACTGTGCGCGGGGATCAACGTCAAGGTCGAGTTCATAAATCTGAAGTTATGTGAAAACGTGATAAATGAAGAGCTGTGGGATAGATGGAAGTCTGGATAGTAAGCGTACAAAGAGAATTCAAGACAGAATCACATGCAACCTTTTCTTACTTCAGTTCCTTTCCCTTATAACACATGAAGTATAAAGTCTTGAGTGATTTACGAAAAATGTTTGTGGCAAATATATCGAACATGATAAATCAGTTTTAGAAATTGGCACACCAACACGAGAGGAGGTAAGAGAAAACAAAGAGGTGGTTGTAGTCCACATAGTGTTCATTGTTGATAAATCCCAAAGGAATGGAACATATATTCGATTCTGTTAAGTGTTGCAAAGGTGACTGAGTGAATATCTGCCCCAATGTTAAACAACCAATATGTCAAGTCAGTGCTACTAACTTCCCAGACAAGTCTGCTACCAATTCCCATACGCCCGTGAGTTAGTGGCTTCGCTTCGTTACGCCGGACGAGGTCGAAGTCAAGTCTTACACCTATTAAACAGCGTTTCTACCACTGCGCTTCCCACACCTCGCTTTAAAGTTTTATATATTAAAGTTGCCTTTCTACATCATGAAAAATAGCCTACAATTCTTAGTTGCTATAAAACAAATCTCCAGTTTTTTTCAACAAAACCGGATTGACATCGATATACACTCTTTTTTTGCGATTTAAAAGTGGTGAAGCAAAAGCAGATTACCTGGTCGCAGTCAGTTCCATAGCCAGTAGCTTGAAGAGTCAGTTTCGAGTCATCATAGCTGAAATTGCATTCTATACTTCCATAGAATAAGGAAAAGACGAACTTTTCATGGGAATTTATTAAGAAGATAATTGAAGGGCTACAACATGGCTAAAACCCACACCTGAAGTAACCCTCAGCGTTTTGTCCGCCAAATGTAAGTTGTTTCACGTTTTTAAAGTGTCGTTCGCCATTAAAATGTACTACACCGTCAACAGAAGTTGTGATTGTGTTCTGCCAAGGCACACTAACCGCCTGAAACAGCTGAGACACGACAGTGCAAATTCAGGTGACATACAAAAACTTTGTAACGCGATGAACGTCAACATCGTTCACAGTCCATGTTTTCTATTGATTGCTGAGTTTCTCTTTACTATTCGATGATAAAAATCTTGCAGTTTAGCTTAGTCTATTATTAGTTCTTTGGAACATCTTATCAACCATTAACTCTAGTCCTCAGTTTTAAGCTAAATTTGTCTATCGTTTTCAAATTATGGATATCCTGATAAGGAATGATTGAACGAATCAACAATACTGGAGGAATGAAAATGGTTTCGTGCAGTACACTTACAGTTTTCTGTACTCGGTTTGTCAAGAGGAATGCTTCATTCGTCTTTTTCCAAGACTCTACGAACCTTCCTTCTTTTTCTTCTGGCGAATCGACCTAGAATATTTAACATTTATCTGTCGACGTCTTAATTCTAAGGACAAATTAACATGCTCGCGAAAGGATGCATTAGTTTCAATGCATAAATCGTTGGATCTTGTGAATATGTAGTCTCTATTCCACAAATATTACACCGACGTAGTTTTAGAACGCTCGTTTTCAGCGCATAATATCGACAAATGATAGATAGTTAAGGGCGATTTTCTCTGAAAATTTCAAATTCCAGCCTTTCTATTACCTCAACCTTGGTCAACAATTTATTGTGCTAAGGTTAACTGTTAATCGATGAGTCACACGTGATAGTGAACCATGCGCCTTTCCGTTTCACTTTTGGACTACTGAAGATTATCCATAATGCCTTAAGAGTTTTAATGGCTGCTGTATTCTCATTTCTCCGTTTCATTCTTCATAAATTTAGTATTGTGATTCTATGTTGTTATATGTGTACGCAATAGAATACTTTACCTGAGTTTGAATTCTCTAACATCATGTTCTTTTATACGAGCAGAAAGTAGTGGACTGATTTCGCTAAGGTATTCTTCTCCGCACGTTTTACGAGGGATCACGCACACCATACCGAACTCATTCTTTGCCGTTAGGATAGATGATCTAATTTTGTGTTGTAAACAGACGATCGTATAAACGATTACCAAACAACTGTCGCTGCTGATTGTTCGGTGGTAGTTCAGTAACTGTCACAGAGTGCTCTAGACCATCCCCTTTTTCCCGAAATACAAAATGGGTAGAAATCATTATATGAATGCGCGTAAACGTATAAACGGCAAGCTTCAATTCTTAAGAACTACTTCACCGAGTGATTTCGGAAAGAAAATCATAATCTTAGCGCTGCAATCAAGACTGTCAGTGCATGAAGTTTCTAAGCGGTTTTCGATGAACTTCACAAACTGGAAAATGGATCGAGAGAAAGAATTACCCATAGATGATTTGGCATCGCTTCTCAGAAAACTTCTTAAGTAAAACGGGTCTCATCTATCATTCTACACATATGCTTTTACTTGACCCGTCATCGTGTCTACTGAGCGGATCCCAGCACTTGCATTCAATTCGTTTTCTTTCGCATTCATCGCCCACAGTGGCCTGCATTCGAACATTTCGCGTACTGTTTCGGTTATAGCTTGAGGATTTCGTCCTCCGTCTGTGGATGTTGCAGAATGCTGATCGAATCGATTCATCTTCAAGCCCTGGAGATGGCTTGGCTGTGGCGTTCCCACATGGATTGGAGAAGCGTTAGGGAGGAGGTCGAACCAGCACCCTGCTTCCTGATGGACCGCACCGCTAACCAGTACGGTACCGCTCATCTTATATATATATATATATGCATGTATATACAAATATATACACATATACATTGTCCGGATGACGTTATTCCTTAACAGATAAGCAGAATAAAACAGCCCTTTGCTATTCTTTGAACTATACGAACTGTTTCCAACGCATGTAGACCTCGATAGGTTTTCAAGACTTATTTATGTACATATACGATATAAAATCTTTTAGAAGATCTCGTTGTACAAATCTTTCCTGAGCTGATTACACATGAAAGATACTCACCCAGTCAGCTATAAATATATTAATATCTGTGGGCTTCCCTGACCCTCGAGAAGAAGCCCATACGATTTTATCGCCTTTGTGAGAAAACATGGGAAAGGAGTCGAAATTATTCTCGTCATAAGTGATCTGAAATCAGATGATGTTATGTCAGAAATAGATTTCTTAAGAACCCAGTGGTATTGGCTGACGAACCTTCTCTAGATTCGTCCCATCTTCATTAACAAGGTAAAGGTCGAAGGAGTTATAGTCAGAACCGGTAGAGTTAAAGTTGGAACTGAAAGCGATTCAAAATTATTTAGAAGTATAAATTTCACTAAGAAGTATATGCGACCACTTTACGTGCAAACATTTAAACCAAGGGATCTTCGTCTGAGGGAGTTATGAAGCAAGTTAGTCGCAATTCTAGGTAGCGCTTCTCACATATTAAGAAGGTGGGGTTAACAGAGGAACTAACGGAGGAATGCACTTTACTGAACACACGTGGATTCACAGATCGCTTCCTTTCCTTGTGTTCCTGTTGTGCTAGATTAGCTTATACCATCCGTATCTATGTAGGCATATTCATACACACTTCGTTTAGCGTGTTTGGTTGCACGTTAATTCTTGCTCAGAAGTTGATTCGACCTGAAGTATGCAACCAAATGTTTGAGAAGTGCACTGAAGACAGTTCTAACCGGTCTCCGAGAAATATGGTAAAAGTCTTCCTGGAAAAACCGAAAACTAACCAGAAAAGGCAACGATATTCATGTGGTAGAACCCAGCAAGTTAACCGCTGGGCACAAACTTGCTAAAACTATGAAAAACAAAGTGCACTATACAAAGTACCTACGAGATAGCCGAGGCCAATAAACGCGCAGCAAGGACAAATTGAAGTTTCACTGTTATCATCTTCAGTCATTCGATGATTTATAGCCATATTGGTGAAGAAAGTTAATTATTCAATCACCCTACACTTTTAACATTAATACAATTTATACAGTCACCCGTCAAAATTGGTGGCATTTTCACCAGGTGGGTAGACTTCATTTTATGACAACTGGCATTTTATATGAACCTGTTTTAAACACTTTCAAGAAGAGCTAAACTTCACGTTCGGAAGAATTTCACCTCGAACCTAAAAATGATCCTTTTATTGTCCGGTAGATAGTAGGGGGCCCAGTTGGCACGACCCAATCTGTTGTTGAACACAGGGCGCAAATCCGATCCGTCCACATTGATGACATAGAGCTCCATTTCTGTCGGGGAAACTAGATTGTAACTGAAGATGGCTAACATTTAGAGTGATGTTGGACAAGCAGGTAAATCAACAAGGCAACTGACTGAAGCAATTCCTGGTATTTCTGAACCTCTTCCTTCGTTTTCGGTCTACTAGCACGAAAAACGATCTTCTTATTGTCAGCAGAGAAAAATCCACCACCGTCATAACCCAAAACGTCTGTGAGCTAAAAAAAAAGAGTGCTATAATTTGGAGGCCCATACCTTAACCATCTTCGCGTTCGGCATGACACCTTCACCATCATCATGCCAGGTGTTCGTTCGGTATTCATAGGATTGCGTCAGTACACCTCACTCTGCTCAACTCACCTGTTTCTTATTGGAACCGTCAATATCCATAACGTAGAGGTCGAGGTCGCCATTTTCCATACTGGTGTAAACTATTTTCGTTCCATCTGGACTGACTACTGCTTCTGCATCGTATACATTGTTGTTGGTGAGTTGAGCGATGACATTTCCGTATTCGTTCACCTGAAAACATGATTATAATTTTACCACTCGTCATCCATTCTGATGTCGTGGTAAGCCGTCTTTATGAAGCCTAATCTATTTACGACAACTCCAGCTTTTCAGTAGATGTCAATAACTCTTTCGATAACTTTGAGTATTTGAGGAATTAACAAATTGGAAGAGAAACCAATAGAAAAGATCGCCTCGAGGCTTTGTGTAATGCTTGTAAATTATCGTCTTCGTCCAAAATTGGTTGAGAATCAAGTTTGGGAACAAAAATGTTAAAAGTGTAAGTGTGAAACAACCACAGTGATACTGAGAGACAGGCGAAACAAAGGACCCGTATGGTGTGGTGGCAAACGCGTTAACCTCCGGAAAGGGTAATAATTCAAGTTCATTCCCCACCGCAAACACCTGCAGTCTGGAGTTTTGCAAATATCTCAGCATTATTGTGGTTGTTTCACACATAATACCCCAGCCGTGAAAAACTGTAATAGGCAATAAATTAAAAGTTAACAATATTGAAAATTTTAAAGCTTTCTATTCAAGTACGGTCGCAAACACCAATGATGAATTAGGGGACGTCATTACGTTCTACTGGATGAAATTTCACATCGAAGAGCTTACATGAAAAAGCAACTAAAAACCACCTCGTGGTCTCTGAATAACCAGAAATTTATCATGTTAGCACAAGGAGAATTCTTATTGCCAAACAGTTTGTAGGCTGACAGGGTGTTCCGTGCGCTAGTTAGAAATGGCGCACAAGACACACCGGGTGCTTTGGTTCGATTCCGCGCATCAGGTTAACTAAGCCCTCTATATCTCCGGAATTGGTAAAGTGGTGCTACACTTCCCTGAGATAATGAACACACCGATTTGGTACATCGGTCGGCCATCATGTATTTCCTTCATATTAGCCAAACGTGCATTCAATCACTTACCTCTACGATGCTGTAAATGAAGTAGAATGCATGATTTATCTCTCTCAGATTATGTAAAGCTGAGCATCTTACCGTTTCTATGTTTTATAGGTTATGATGTATTTGTTTAAAACCGAAATGCTCTCGGCAGCGTACGAGTTAAAGATGAACCGCATCGTCCCAAATGTACGGATCAATAGATTCGTTGAGTTTGTACAGCAACTAACTTTTCAAACAATTTTATCGATAGCATCGCAAATTTTTTATTTTAAATTTTTTAAATTCAAATTTTTTATTTATATTTCAAAGCTATTAAGAAATTCAGAGAGTTCACCTTAAAGATGTCGTAGGTTGGAAAGATGTCCCACGTGTACGATGTGTTGCCTGAAATTGTAAAAGGTACTGGATAATGTAATTAGTTATATTTCTAACCAAATTTCAACATTTCATGGCATGTTGAGGTGATTTTTGGAATCTAGAGAATGAAAATTAAATTTACAGTATTGCGATTTTCGTTGTATTTTGAGGTATTGCTGGTGTGTTTCGATCCATCGGCATGGTGCTAGTTCGATTCCGCTCCGGGCAAACCAACCCTCTCATCCCTCCGGGTCGGGAAATTGGTGCCGGACTTGTTTGGGAAAAAATCACTCTCTGCAATCCAACTGGGAACGCTCCAACCCGACTATCTCAGGACTCCAGGGAGAATTGCTCGACCAGTATTGACATTCAAAATTAAATGAAAATCCTCAAAGAAGCCACACGTAAAAACTTGGAAGACCTTCGTGGATTGGACGATGTACGCGAGGAAACGATTTGGATGGTGCTGGGATCTGCACAGTAGCTGTGAAAACGGATCAAATGAAATGGAAAAAAATTGAGCAAAAGTCAGTATCGCCTTTCAAGAATGGAAAGTGTTCGAATTTTTAAATGGAAATACTTTCGAATTGTTGACTCATCGCAGTTTTGTTCATGAGTGCTATGGTGCTTCTAAGCTCATAGGCGATTAACAAACATGGCAAAGTTGTACTAGTTCCATAGTCGTGATAACTTAAATCTTGCATAAAATGAAGAACTGAAGGTCAGAACTTAAGTTTTCGCTATCGAAATGGTGTAAGTGATGTAAACTGCCGTGATAGATTAGCTCGATACTACAATGACTAGCGTTCGCGAAAAATTCCGTAAGCTCCAGTACTTCCCTGCATTCTCGAAGAAACCTATGGCAGGGAGTTCACAAACTGTCGTGATAGACAGTCATAAGTCGTTTTTGAACAAATGAGCAGCGTACGATTGCTTTTATTCCAAAGTGGTAAAAGAGGAGCTCTTTTTCAATTAAGGTTTGCTGTATTTTTTCATAGCTATGATGTGGCTCGTAAACCACAATAGTGGAATAGAATGATCATATGAGATCTTAAAATTTCGCATATCTACCGAATTCGGTTTTCTTCTTTTTTCTACGGATGTTTTGCATTCTGCCAAACCATAGTTTGATTTCATAGTTCTTTCACATTGAACTCCTTTGCCGCTTTTATGATAATCGGCTCAAATAGTCATACCAAAGTTGGGCTTTAGAAACAGATTTGCTTCCAGCTTCTTTTTGCGATTAGGCATTGATTCGAATTTCATGAGGTCGAATGAAGATCCTGATCCTCTCTTTCCAATAGGTATCTGAACGTTCAGAGCTTCGTCAGAGAAGAACCGAAAATTGCTGGGAAGTATGAACATTCTGGTTGTACGGCTAAATCTCTTCGTCTGCTGTGTGAATGTTCTTTGATATCTGAAGGTAAGGTTAATCGCCTATTCGAAGCAAATCTGTTCCCAGTTTTGCTCATATCCGAGCATTCTCGTGATTGTACTTCTCGTAGATCAGTTGGTTGGCTTTCATTTAAAATCCTTAATGTACGACGCACAGTAGGGTAATGACCTTATAGAACACACTAAATAGGTAGGTACGATAAATGCGAAGACACGTTAAGTAGCTGTTCTCGGGCAAGACAACTATGAGGTTCTCCACTGAAAACAGATTCTTAACCATCGAAAACAAGTGACTATGCTGCTCCTAAGAAGGCGTCGTGGCGTCCAGTTTAAACGAAGTCGACTACCATCACATCCTGCTCTGGAACCGCGTCTTTCTTAAGCTTTTAAACGGAACTCGAAATTCAAAAGGAAATGTCCTAGTTGCTTTCCTCCGAAGGGGATGGTGAGCTCTTAAATGGGGATAGCAGAATGGGGAAGAATAACAATTTTTCGTGCAGAATTTCTATCCTATGTCAACTCCATATCATGAATAGAGGCCGTGGTAAAATCATCATCAATCATTACGGCAGAAAGTAAACATTATGTTCATATACAGTATCCCAAGTAAACATTATTTTCACATACAGTATCCTTATAATATTATAAAACGATTCCTTTTTAGGCTGCTCCAAACAGTTCTTCTTGATGTGAGCACTGCTGTGAAGATATTTTTCGGTTGCTCTCTATTGGTACCCGTGTTCCAAATGGACATGGTTTCAGCTTAACATAGTTTCTCTTTCAGTTTTTTTTTGACTAGACACATAAGCAACTCCTTGGTGGTGCTGGAAGCGTTAATGCGGCAGTCTTTTCAAAGTTTTCGATAAGCTTTCCTTAACCTGGAAGTCATTCAGACGAAGGATTTCGTCGAGCACGTTCTTCTCACATAGGAGTTTCAACTTTCTTCTTCGGTTACGAAAGTTTTAGTACAGAAGAGGTAGTGATCCAGTTCCAAATAATGAGATTACAAAGTTTGCAAGAAGGCGCTATCTTCTGGTTTTAAAAATATGATCAGTCTTCGAATGAGGTATACCATTTTACACGAGGTCCATTTTCTATTTTACATGATCCATCTTCACAACTAACACGCGGTCCCCACCACTTCTTGCATTCGATTCGTTTCTTCGGATCCATCATCGACAAAGCCCTTTGAACATTTTATGGTTCCAACCAACAAAGTTTTAAGTACTTTTAATTAAAATGTCACTTGTTAGAAGCCAGGAGAACGTCCGCGCTAAACTCAAGTCCTTTTATAAGATGGATATGAGCACAGCTTTCCCACATTTCAGTCAGATCATGATGCGGTTCCAGCGAGTTCTGAGTAACCCCAAATTTTGTGGCCTCACACTGGTCGTCCAACTGCCCGACCACGCAGACGAAAGCAACCAGTGTGCGGGATAGTGAGGCGGGCCTATTACTGGCTAGACATTTTGATCTTCCATGGAGTCCTAACACAATCTTCTAAGGGCGTTCTGGATCTTCACCACAATGTGGATCTGATGGAAGTATCTTTTCGGGAACGATTCCCTCGTTCGGTCTTCCGGATACGAAATTAAAACCGGAATCAAAAATGAGCGTAGGAATGAAAAGAATGATCGACTGTTCAAGGCAGATGTAGAATCTGAATTTTACAGATTACGGCATGACACTCGCACCCGCCATCATGCTTGAATCAAACCACCACCAAAGAGGACGAATGCATGGCAAAGAAACGAATAGAAAATGGGCTGTGGGCCGCACAACTTGTGAAAACGGGCCGTCCAAGCGGCCAATTAAGCAAGGAAGTAATCAGGCCATGACAGCGACTCATTTTTCAGAATATTTAGATTCTTCAGGTTAAGTTGCTTTATCCACTAGTTCAGTAGTACTTACATAGTTGCTTAAGTTTTGGGTCGCTCTTGGCTTCGGACGACTGACATTTCCTTCTTGGGCAGCTATCGTCGTTCGTACCCTTCTTGGCGTTGATCTTTGTCTACAATAAACTAGTGCTTTATAGTATTTCGAACAATTTCCTAAACAAAGCTTCTATTGCGAGATTTGTTCCATTGCTTGAATTATCAGTCTCTAGCAAACAGTAGCTTTGTAAAGACGAAAGGATGCAGAAGTAAAAGAAAAGCAAGAAAAAATTGCTTTCTAGAAGCCATCTTAGAACCAACATAAATTCTAACCATTCGGTTATGAATTACGTAACACCTGCTTTGTGAAAATTTCCAGCGTACAAGATATCCTTGTTGTTCGGATAGAAGAATGAGCAGGTGCACGAACCTATACCGGTGCTGATTCTATCCATGGTCTGCTTCGAAGTCTTCTTGAGATCCAAACGATAGATCTATAAAAATCACAAGAAACGAATTTCTGCCAGGCGTATCTCATTCCCACAGTTCAGAATATTTTCTGTGAAACATCCAAAATAACGGATCCTACCTTCTATGTTAATGAATTTTACCACTATGAATGAAATTTGTAGTTCTTACACGACCTCTCATCACATCTACAGTGTGGACCCTAACAGTTCTTGGATTCGTTTCTTTTCCTCGTATCCATTACCCACAAAGTTCTCCGAACACTTTGTGTGTTGTTTTAGTTGCTGCTTGGAGATTTTTTCTCCTTTATAAATAACACAGAATGCTGATCGAGTTGATTCTCCTTGCAGTTTTGGACATAGTCGAACTAAGGCGTTTCCACCTGTATTAGAGGAGAACGTTGGGGAGAGGTTTGAATCATCACCTTTCTTCCTGATAGGTTGTATCCCTACTACTCCGCTAGTTTTCAAACTATAGTGACCTCTAATTGTTGCAAGGAAAACTATTTAGTTTTACACCAAATACTGATGAACATATAGCGCTCGAGCTCACCTGATCACAATTCGTTCCGTAGCCAGTGGCCTGCAGTGTCAGATATTGATCGTCGAAGCTAAATTTTCCACATTGTAATCTTTTCTGTTACACCCGTTTTAGTAAGGAAAGTAGAGTTTTATCCTAGATGCTGGATGAAAACGATAATAGGGATGTCAGACGGTTCTTTCCGAGCACTATACCTTTAGAATGGTCTACTTAATGGGAACGAGTAAACACCCTTCTCTGGCTTCTCATTTTTAAATCGTTAAATTATATTTGCATACCTTTTCTTCATACCAGGTTCTGCTACCTCATTATCCTTCTTGGCATTTTTTTGTATGTTTATCCACTCATCTGCTTCCTCATCATCTCTTTCACTGTTGTGATTTTGAAGAATGTTGTAGCCAAGGACTTTCTGTTCGTATTCTATGGTAAGGGCGAGTGTGGCGCAGTAGCCGGAGGTGCCCTGCAACACACACGTGGCGTCGATACCCGCACCCATGGCCCACCAAGTCTTCCATCCTTCCCGGGTCGGCAAACTGGTGCCAGACGTGTGTCTGGGAGGATAACAGCACTGGTTCGATACAACGGTAGGCCACCGCGAGTCATTGTAAAGGCCAGATATGCATTCAATCACACTCAAATGATGCTCCATGAAGTACATGGAGCACCTCTCAGGGATTGATCAACGCCGACAGCTTTATCCTTTTATCCTTTACCTATGGTGACCATTTAATGGGAACCAACAGCAAGCGCAGCTGTATTCTTCGCGTATCGAGAGAACACTGACTCTGCTATAAAAATCTACAACGACTTAAGCGATTCAACATTTAACCCTCATAACTTCACTCATCTAAAATTTCGACATATTCGCCTTCTTCAGAGCAGATGATCGGAGTCGATGGTCCACAGTCGTTCCTCCTCGCGTTGTGGATCTTTCGCAATGAGGCGAATCTTTTGGAGTACAGCATCGCTGGGTAAGGCTGAACACCTCAACCTTGATATGCGATATCATGTCCTATTCTTCTTGGTAAAAGGGTCTGTCTTGTTGAGGAGTCTCAGTGAAGTTATCATTATTGCTCTAAGGTAATCGCGAAATTTATTCGATCCTTCATCTCCCTTGCTTACCACAATTTCTGCGGTAAACTGGTCCGCTTTACGACCTCACACTTCTTTCGCAAAAACCATCATTTTATGCTATCAATACTCCCATTTCCTTCTCGATCCTGTTAACAATTAAATTGCTGTTAGTGTCACTATCACTACAGTTATCATTATTATTATTATCATGATTATTGCTTCTATTATTATTATGATTACCATCATTACTACTACAGGGAGCGAGTAGCGCAGTGATAGTGATTTCGTGCCTTACGAGGACGTCCAACCTAGCCGGGCGCTGGCTCAACCCTATTCCGGGCCCAGCAAGTATCTCGCACTTTTGTGGTAGTGAAGTTGGTTACAAAGCTGTTAAGTTCAGTCGATGGAAAAGCTAATAGTGATAGAGTGTTTGAGAGTGTTTGCGCCGATTACCGGACCTACCATCTAGGAGCGAAGTGCTGGCTATTGCACCGCATATCACCGTCCTTCTCAATGCAAACAATAAATATGAAGTAGGAAGAATAAGGATTGAGACAGTCAGCGTTTTAGCTGCAAAATATCCCCACCTAAAATAAGCCTCTGTGTGGACTCCATCAAAAGTCAGCTGGCGAACGTTTGTAAAGTGGTTCTCTCCAGGAAAATGAATTTTGGAAGTGCAAAGTAACAGCTGACCATAAATCACCAATACCCACCGTTTCATCTGAAAGGAAATTCAGCATACTTTATGATCCATCCGACAGAATTTTAATTAGCAACCATTTTCCTACAAACAAAATAACAAGATGACTATAACAGTGCTGAGATATCTGCAAAACTCCGGACTGCTGGTGTCTGCGAATGGATAGGTTAATAGCGCGGGTAAAAGGCAAAACGAAAGACTCTGGTGTGGTGGTGAACGCGTTAGCCCCTAGAAAGAACAATAGCGCGTTCGTTCCCCACCGTAAACACCTGCGGTTCGGAGTTTTGCAAATCTCTCAGCATTATAGTAGTTATATTTCGCAATATACCCTGCCGATAAAAAGAATAGGCAGTAAATAAAAAGGCTAAGACTATGATTATAACTATTGCCTCAGCTTAACTGGGTTCAACGCCGATTTGGGCTCCCCAGATCAATTCCGTTGATGGGTGATTGCTGATGGCAAAAGATCGATAGAACTAACTGAGAGACAGGCGACACGAAGGACCCGCATGGTGTAGTGGTGAATGCGTTACTCCCCGGAAAGGACAATAGCGCGTTCGTTCCCCACCGCAGACACCTGTGGTCCGGAGTTTTGCAAATCTCTCAGCATTATAGTAGTTATATTTCGCAATATACCCTGCCGTTAAAAAGAATAGGCAGTGAATAAAATGACTAAGCGAAATACAACCACAACGTTGCTGAGATATTTGCAAAACTCTGGACCGCAGGTGTCTATGGTGGGGAACGAACGCGCTATTGTCCTTTCCGGGGAGTAACGCGTTCACCACCACACCATGCGGGTCCTTTGTTTCGCACGTCTCTCAGCTATTTCTATCGATCTTTTTG